GGATTTTCAAAAGTGCTTAAGTGACTTAGAAGCACAAGCCCCTTTGTCACCTAAAAATGATTTAGGAGCCTGACACGAGACTAGTATTTTTCAAAATTTTGGCCATGGTCAACAAGAGTTAAGGGGGAAGAATTTCAAAGGCACCTCTGGCATTTAGGTGCCTAACTCTCAATGAAAGTTAATGAGAGTTCAGTGCCTAAGTGTCATTTGTGCCTTTGAAAATCTTCTCCCCAGTGCCTACCTCCCTTAAGCACTTTTTAAAGTCCTGCCTTGGGTGGTTTTGATTCCTTATGCCCCTTGGAAAACCTCAGCCTTAAAATATATAATCACACTCTCATCTCGATCAACAAACAGATTTTCAATTAGATCACCATGATTTTAAACGTAGAAAATTCAGCAGTCATGTAAAGAGCCACATATGGCAATGTCATTGGAATTGATGTACAATGCCTTTTTCATTTAGGAAAAAAAAGCAGCTAAATCATTTCCCAGATTTTCTGGGTGGCACATTAACCGCCAAAATTAAACAAAACAGAGTCAACTTCACCACCTCCTTTAAATTCACCAAGGATTTTTAAAGGCCTTTTTCTGTTTTGTACTATACTGAAGATGTGATTGTTAGGATATAGATATTCAGGCCTGTCTGTAAAGGCCTATACTCTAAGAATTTAGGTGTATTCTTATCACTTGGCTAGTGATAGAGGTATAAAAGAAAGAATCAAAACCACTGTCTGCCAGTGTAAGGGCCTTCTCTTACTGTGACAGTTTGTGGCCCTGTGCTTAGGCTCAGGCCTTTGGCTAAGCAGCAGAGGCAGCCATAAGCTGGGAAGCGAACGGTCACATCCTCACATTCCAAACTAGTCACATTGAAATAAGGTGCTATTGGGCTGTTAGGCACTATCAGGACAGGATTGTATTCCTATCACCTCCAGAGGAAGGGAAGTGCCTAGAAAATGTAAAAGGAAACTTAGTTTGATAGCATCCTGTCTGGCAAGAACTCACTTATCAATAGCTGGGATGTGAAATCCTCACTTCTGTATTGTTTTGTCATTATAGTTCCCACTTTGCTGTTGTTTGTCTGTATAATCTCTGTCTGGTTCTGTGATTGTTCCTGTCTGCTGTATAATTAATTTTGCTGGGTGTAAACTAATTGAGGTGGTGGGATATAATTGGTTACATAATCATGTTACAATATGTTAGGATTGGTTAGTTAAATTTCAGGAAAATGATTGGTTAAGGTATAGCTAAGCAGAACTCAAGTTTTACTATATAATCTGTAGTCAATGAGGAAGTGACTGGGTGTGGGTGGGCATGTGGGTGTGTGAGATGGGAACAGGGAATGGGGGTAAGAAAATTGGAATCATGTTTTGCTAAAGGGGGAAATGGGAACAGGGAATGGCAGTAAGGAAGTTGGAATCATGTTTGGCTAAGGGTAGGAATGGGAACAGGGACACACGTGTAAGGCTCTGAGGTGTCAGAGCTGGGAAGGAGGATACTAAGGAAGGAAACTGGAATCATGCTTGCTGGAAGTTCACCCCAATAAACATCGAATTGTTTGCACCTTTGGACTTCGGGTATTGTTGCTCTCTGTTCATGCGAGAAGGACCAGGGAAGTAAGTGGGTGAAGGAATAAGCCCCCTAACAGTGATGCAGCCACATGAATAGGGGGTTAAAAAAACAGATGTTGACTTTATAAGTGCTTTTCTATTCAGAAAATATTGATAAAATATAAGCATTGTAATCTGACTATTTAAACCCTTGGCAACTGGAGCTGGGGTTATCCCATCACAAAGTGCCTTGCAAGTAGAGTGGGTAGGAGTTCAAGATTCGATGCCTTTCTCAAAGACATATTGTAGCACAGCTACAGGCTGAGGTCAGGAGTCACTGGGTGAAGTTCCGTGGCCTGTGTTATGTGGGGGCAGATAAAATGGCCACCAGGGACCCTTCTGGCATTAAATACTGCCAAATAGCTTTTGTGATCATTTGTCCAGGTTCAGAAATGCTGGTTGGTTCAGACAAGTTCATCATGCCCCTTGTTAATTGCCCTTCACAAGAATTTGGGGGCATCACACAAACACACAGCTTTGTTTTTGAATGTCAGCTAAATCTGCAGTATTACTTGCAACAAAGAATTTGTCCAGCTCTAGCTGCAAGAACCTGGCCTGTTGTTGTTTATAAAACAAAAAAAGAAGACAGACTAGAGAAGCCTTCCCACAGGGAAAGGAAAAATGATAAGGGAAGAGAGAAGGCTAAGGAATAGCTCTGGCTATGATCAGAGGTTTTAGTCTGGGGAAATAAAACAGTAAGATGCTATGGGGAAAGGTCAGAGAATGAATCACTAAATAGCAAGAGAAAGCACCAGCACGGTATGCATTTGTCATCTGAAATATACCCGCTCTCTTTTTCTGCTCAGGAAAAGGCTATAGCTTTACCAGAAACTAAACTATCATCATTCATATCCTGCTTGTATCAAGAGAGGTCCAAGTGGTATTTATGTAGTACATGTCGGTGTTTTATGCTCGGTGCGTTATATCAGTGTTACAAGCTCACAACTGGGCACTTCCAGAGACAGTAAAATATGAGCTATTTAGTATATTACCTGGGAACCTGTGGTCCCTTCTCAGATGAATGGTTCATTTGATAGTCAAGAGTCTGATGCCTGTATTTGGTGAGGACTAAAAAAGTGGGATGGGTGCCAAGTGGTTAGGTGTCAGAGTTGGCAAATCACAAAAGGAGTCCCTGTACAGTTTGGACATGTATGGGAATCTTCTCCAGAGTTCTTGGGGATGCAAACTGTGGTGGTAATCCTTAAAGAACAGGCTTTGCTGGATGTTTCCTACCTACTGTGTGTGTGTTCTCCTTTCTCCCCTTCCCTCCTGCTCCCAAAGCTCTTTCCAATCCTTTTGCCTCACTGGTCCCCTCCTGGGATAACAGAACTCTAAGAGAGAGACTTCAGTTACACATTGTTTCAAGTGTAATTATTTACCTTTTACAGCTGACAAAAACATCCATCACCAACAAGAGACTTGTCAGTAAAAGTGGTAGGTTATTTAGATAGTAAGCAACCACCTTGAAAGGGCTTGATCTGGCAAACTGTTGCTTTCTGGAGTAGCCCTGATGGAGTAAGGAAGGCATAAATATCTATTTCCAAAGGAAAAAATTACTGGGGTCACGAGAAAACCTTATATCAATAAGAATTACTCATCATATAGGCGCACAATCAGAACCTTGGGTCTTAAGCTCCTTTGAGGTAGAATTGTTTCTTCCTATATGGTTTGTATAACGCAGAGCGCACAGTTGTCAGATAACAAGTAATAAAAAAGGAATACTGTGTATGTTGTTTCCATACATCTATTTGGGTACTTATATGGCCACCAACATTCCAAAATACAATCAAAACTTTTTTGGTGGTAATGTATGGCCCCCCAATCCCATAATATCTGAGCACCTACACATTATTAAAATATTAAAAATTAAAACAATCATTTTTCCTGTCTTCCCAGAGACAACATTTTATAGTACAGCTCGTTGGAACACAGGGTGTCTTTCCCACCCTCTACCCCTGAAAATGTTGACAAAACATTTTAAAAAAATAGTAGTGATTTTTGGCAACAATTAATTTAAAAACCCAATTTTCCATCAAATATAGTTTAAGCAGAAAATTTTGAACTAGCCCTATGGTTTGCTTGCTGTATGAGTGAAAAGGAGTGTTGTATCTCTGTATGTATGCAAAGAAATCATTGGAGGAAAGCTAAGAAACAGGTTTTGCATTTAATTCTGAATACAGGGAGGCCTAAGGACATTCTAACCTCGTGAGCTCAATAGGCTCAGCATATATGAAAGTTCTTGCATCCTGCAGTCTTAATTCTCCCCATTTGATCCCCAGTTTCATCTCTTGGTGGAATGTAGATGTTAAGAGAGATCAATAAATAGAAATGCATTCTCCTGCTGTAGCTTTTCCCATGGAAAATATGTGGCTCAGTTCTGCTCAATGATTCTCATTAAAGTCAGAACCATGTGAAAGGAAAATGAAGCCAAAGAATCGAAAACTATGAGGTTTCCACCCTATCAAGTGCAAAATACAGTTAAATCAGGGAAAGCAACTATGCAACCACAGTTGCATAGCTATTTACCATTATACAACCCCCATAGCCGTACAACTTCACTGTGTATGTACAAAAAAAACAAAAAAAAACACTGCACAATATGGAAGGCAAGGAAATTAGGCTACTTATTGATCACGCTTCACCCTTAGTACAGGCAATGAAATTGTATTTATACCTGAAGCATAAGGAATTATATTTGCTTAATGCATGCTCACTTGGCGGTGAATGAAGAATTCTCAAAATCCACCTCTTGAAACTGCTGCCCCACTGTTTCCACAACTGCAAAGGGTAGTGTGGAAGGATGGAATAAAGACTGTGTTGGGATTACAGCACTAGACAGGGACACGGGAGATTTGGGTTCAGTTTTCAACTCTACCACAGACTCTCTTTCGGGACCTTGGATAAGTCTTGTCCGCCCTGAGCAAGGTGCTTCAGCACATGCTTAACTTTAAGCACATGAGCTCTGATGACTGCAAATGTATTAAGTATTCCATGGGCCCCTGTTCCCAATCATCTGCTTGTATGTACCATCCCATTCTCCTACCCTTTGTCTATCTTGTCTATTGAGCCCTGGTCTACACTAGGACTTTAGGTCGAATTTAGCAGCGTTAAATCGATTTAAACCTGCACCCGTCCACACAATGAAGCCCTTTATTTCGACTTAAAGGGCTCTTAAAATCGATTTCCTTACTCCACCCCTGACAAGTGGATTAGCGCTTAAATCGACGTTGCCGGCTCGAATTTGGGGTACTGTGGACACAATTCGATGGTATTGGCCTCCGGGAGCTATCCCAGAGTGCTCCATTCTGACCGCTCTGGACAGCGCTCTCAACTCAGATGCACTGGCCAGGTAGACAGGAAAAGAACCGCGAACTTTTGAATCTCATTTCCTCTTTGGCCAGCGTGGCAAGCTGCAGGTGACCATGCAGAGCTCATCAGCACAGGTGACCATGATGGAGTCCCAGAATCGCAAAAGAGCTCCAGCATGGACCGAACGGGAGGTACGGGATCTGATCGCTGTTTGGGGAGAGGAATCCGTGCTATCAGAACTCCGTTCCAGTTTTCAAAATGCCAAAACCTTTCTGAAAATCTCCCAGGGCATGAAGGACAGAGGCCATAACAGGGACCCGAAGCAGTGCCGCGTGAAACTGAAGGAGCTGAGGCAAGCCTACCAGAAAACCAGAGAGGCGAACAGCCGCTCTGGGTCAGAGCCCCAAACATGCCGCTTCTATGATGAGCTGCATGCTATTTTAGGGGGTTCAGCCACCACTACCCCAGCCGTGTTGTTTGATTCCTTCAATGGAGATGGAGGCAATACGGAAGTAGGTTTTGGGGACGAAGAAGATGATGATGAGGAGGAGGTTGTAGATAGCTCACAGCAAGCAAGTGGAGAAACCGGTTTTCCCGACAGCCAGGAACTGTTTCTCACCCTAGACCTGGAGCCAGTACCCCCCGAACCCACCCAAGGCTGCCTCCTGGACCCAGCAGGCGGAGAAGGGACCTCTGGTGAGTGTACCTTTTAAAATGCTATACATGGTTTAAAAGCAAGCATGTGAAAGGATTACTTTGCCCTGGCATTTGCGGTTCTCCTAGATGTAGTCCTAAAGCCTTTGCAAAAGGTTTCTGGGGAGGGCAGCCTTATTTCGTCCTTCATGGTAGGACACTTTACCACTCCAGGCCAGTAACACGTACTCGGGAATCACTGTAGAACAAAGCATTGCAGTGTATGTTTGCTGGCATTCAACCAAAATCCGTTCTTTATCTCTCTGTGTTATCCTCAGGAGAGTGAGATATAATTCATGGTCACCTGGTTGAAATAGAGTGCTTTTCTTCAGGGGACACTCAGAGGAGCCCATTCCTGCTGGGCTGTTTGCCTGTGGCTAAACAGAAATGTTCCCCGCTGTTAGCCACAGGGAGGGGAGAAGGTTGAGGGGGTAGTCATGCGGTGGGAGGAGGCAAAATGCGACTTTGTAACAAAAGCACATGTGCTATGTATGTAATGTTAACAGCAAGGTTTACCCTGAAAGACTGTAGCGACTGTTTTATAAAATGTGTCTTTTTAAATACCGCTGTCCCTTTTTTTTTCTCCACCAGCTGCATGTGTTTCAATGATCACAGGATCTTCTCCTTCCCAGAGGCTAGTGAAGCTTAGAAAGAAAAGAAAACGCACTCGCGATGAAATGTTCTCCGAGCTCATGCTGTCCTCCCACACTGACAGAGCACAGACGAATGCGTGGAGGCAAATAATGTCAGAGTGCAGGAAAGCACAAAATGACCGGGAGGAGAGGTGGAGGGCTGAAGAGAGTAAGTGGCAGGCTGAAGACAGGGCTGAAGCTCAAAGGTGGCGGCAGCGTGATGAGAGGAGGCAGGATTCAATGCTGAGGCTGCTGCAGGACCAAACCAGTATGCTCCAGTGTATGGTTGAGCTGCAGCAAAGGCAGCTGGAGCACAGACTGCCACTGCTGCCCCTCTGTAACCAACTGCCCTCCTCCCCAAGTTCCATAGTCTCCACACCCAGATGCCCAAGAACGCGGTGGGGGGGCCTCCGGCCAACCAGCCACTCCACCACAGAGGATTGCCCCAAAAAAAGAAGGCTGTCATTCAATAAATTTTAAAGTTGTAAACTTTTAAAGTGCTGTGCTTAAAGTGCTGTGTGGCATTTTCCTTCCCTCCTCCACCACCCCTCCTGGGCTACCTTGGTAGTCATCCCCCTATTTGTGTGATGAATGAATAACGAATGCATGACTGTGAAGCAGCAATGACTTTATTGCCTCTGCAAGCAATGATTAAAGGGAGGAGGGGAGGGTGGTTAGCTTACAGGGAAGTAGAGTGAACCAAGGGGCGGGGGGTTTCATCAAGGAGAAACAAACAGAACTTTCACACCGTAGCCTGGCCAGTCATGAAACTGGTTTTCAAAGCTTCTCTGATGCGTACCGCGCCCTCCTGTGCTCTTCTAACCGCCCTGGTGTCTGGCTGCGCGTAACCAGCAGCCAGGCGATTTTCCTCAACCTCCCACCCCGCCATAAATGTCTCCCCCTTACTCTCACAGATATTGTGGAGCACACAGCAAGCAGTAATAACAGTGGGAATATTGGTTTCGCTGAGGTCTAAGCGAGTCAGTAAACTGCGCCAGCGCGCCTTTAAACGTCCAAATGCACATTCTACCACCATTCTGCACTTGCTCAGCCTGTAGTTGAACAGCTCCTGACTACTGTCCAGGCTGCCTGTGTACGGCTTCATGAGCCATGGCATTAAGGGGTAGGCTGGGTCCCCAAGGATACATATAGGCATTTCAACATCCCCAACAGGCCGTTATTTTCTGGTCTGGGAATAAAGTCCCTTCCTGCAGCTTTTGAAACAGACCAGAGTTCCTGAAGATGCGAGCATCATGCACCTTTCCCGGCCATCCCACGTTGATGTTGGTGAAACGTCCCTTGTGATCCACCAGAGCTTGCAGCACTATCGAAAAGTACCCCTTGCGGTTTATGTACTCGGCGGCTTGGTGCTCCGGTGCCAAGATAGGGATATGGGTTCCGTCTATAGCCCCACCACAGTTAGGGAATCCCATTGCAGCAAAGCCATCCACTATGACCTGCACATTTCCCAGGGTCACTACCCTTGATATCAGCAGATCTTTGATTGCGTGGGCTACTTGCATCACAGCAGCCCCAACAGTAGATTTGCCCACTCCAAATTGATTCCCAACTGACCGGTAGCTGTCTGGCGTTGCAAGCTTCCACAGGGCTATCGCCACTCGCTTCTCAACTGTGAGGGCTGCTCTCATCTTGGTATTCATGCGCTTCAGGGCAGGGGAAAGAAAGTCACAAAGTTCCATGAAAGTGCCCCTACGCATGCGAAAGTTTCGCAGCCACTGGGAATCGTCCCAGACCTGCAACACTATGCGGTCCCACCAGTCTGTGCTTGTTTCCCGAGCCCAGAATCGGCGTTCCACAGCATGAACCTGCCCCATTAGCACCATGATGCATGCATTGTCAGGGCCCATGCTTTCAGAGAAATCTGTGTCCATGTCCTGATCACTCACGGGACCGCGCTGACGTCGCCTCCTCGCCCGGTATCGCGTTGCCATGTTCTGGTGCTGCATATACTGCTGGATAATGCGTGTGGTGTTTAATGTGCTCCTAATTGCCAAAGTGAGCTGAGCGGCCTCCATGCTTGCCTTGGTATGGCGTCCGCACAGAAAAAAGGCGCGGAACGATTGTCTGCCGTTGCTCTGACGGAGGGAGGGGCGACTGACGACACGGCTTACAGGGTTGGCTTCAGGGAGCTAAAATCAACAAAGGGTGTGCCTGTACATCAAGGAGTATTTCAGGCAGGACTGCACGGAGGGTTCCAATAAGAAATGGTGCACCTAAGTTATCGTTGTTATTGGAACAAGGAGGTTAGCCTGGCCTCTGATTGATACATGGCTAGATTTACCTCGCTGCACCTTCTCTGTGAGTGACTGCAGTGTGATCTAGACAGGGGAGGAGGCAAATGAGTACAAAACAAATCTGGTCTATTTCTTGTTCTGACCCACTCCATCTATCTTTTACATCTTTGGCTGGCAGCAGACGGTGCAGAAGGACTGCATGCCATCCACATCTCATGGCTGCTCGGCAGAAGATGGTACAGTACGACTGCTAGCAGTCCGTATCGCCTGCCCGCTCACCATAAGACGGTTCAATAGGATTGACTGCAGGACTAAAGAGAATGACCTGGTCAAGTCACTCCAAATTTAGTCCCTGCGCCCATGTCTGCCCAGGCGCTCCTGATCGACCTCACAGAGGCAACCAGGAGCACCTCAGACTTGACGATGACGGCTACCAGTCGTACTGTACCGTCTGCTGCCACAAGGCAAGGGGTTGCTGCTACTGTGTAGCAATGCCGTACCGCGTCTGCCAGCACCCAGGAGACATAGGGTTACGGTTACCTGAGCGGGCTCCATGCTTGCCGTGGTATGGCGTCTGCACAGGTAACTCAGGAAAAAAGGCGCGAAATGATTGTCTGCCCTTGCTTTCACGGGGGGAGGGAGGGAGCAGGGGGCTGACGATATGTACCCAGAACCACCCGCGACAATGTTTTAGCCCCATCAGGCATTGGGATCTCAACCCAGAATTCCAATGGGCAGCGGAGACTGCGGGAACTGTGGGATAGCTACCCACAGTGCAACACTCCGGAAGTCGACTCTAGCCTCGGTACTGTGGAAGCGCTCCGCCGAGTTAATGCACTTAATGCACTTAGAGCATTTTCTGTGGGGACACACACACTCGAATATATAAAACCGATTTCTAAAAAACCGACTTCTATAAATTCGACCTAATTTCGTAGTGTAGACATACCCTTAGACTGTAAACTCTTCAGGGAAGCTAATGTCACTGTGTGAACTGTATTGATCCCAAGACTAATCAAATGATGTGTGGAAGGTAGGAAGCGATGTGTGGAAGGTAACTTTTAACGAACTGAAATATCCTTTGTTCCTTGCACTGAGATTCCATTTACATTTAACCCTGTGTTCCAAGCCACCTTCGGAAAAAGAGAGAGAAATGTCCAGATCCATCTTGTTTGTGAGATGGCACTACATTCAGTTTATCAATAATATATTCAGATTAATACAGAGAAAATCAACACATTCACCATGAAAATATTGCTCCTCCTTATGCAAGTTAAAAAAATCTGCATAATTAAAAAAAAGTGACATTACAGCTAAAATTTAAGGCATTAAATTACATGATTTTCTCTCTACCCGAGACAGAACCTGAAGATAAATATATATAAAGCTCAACAGAAAACCTGATACAGGTTTGCTGCTTTTCGCCACATTAACTCAACTGAATCACTCCTTATGCTTCAATCAGCTTTGGAAACAGACTCAGGAGGATTTGTCTCTAACTTAAAGATCTAAAGAGGATCATCTACAGAGCTGAAAACATTAGGAAACAAATTTCCCCTCCTCTTTGGGTTGCACTAAAAGAAGACTAGAGCAATAAGCACTGAATGCAGTGCATTCATGGCTACAAGCATAACATAGCTATGGTGTCCTCCACTTACATTTTTAACCTGAGCCCCATGGGGTTCCTGTTTAATTAAAACCCCTAAGTCTCTATATGGACGCCCAGTATGGTATGAGCAAAGTTTAATCAGAATAAGAAGAACCAAATCACAACCTCAGAGGCCATCAGTTCCTGGCAATCTCCCCCGCCCATGTCTCAGGCTGACAAAGCAGAGCATAGCCTCCTAAGCGTGACACCAGCCCCAGTCATAGGTAAAGATTTCCTAACTGATGGGAGCAGCAACAGTATTGTAGAGTGAGGCAAATCTAGGAACCCCAGGCCCCATAGATCTAGACTCAAGAAGGGAAACTGACCTTCTCCGTGTGGCAGAAAAGAGACTTCACAGACTCTATCTCCCCAGGCACATGGAAACAGAGCAGGATCTCTCAGGGGTGGATACAGGCCCCAGGAGTAGTAGGGACTTTCCACAGCAGAAGTTGAAAGCAGCAGTAGCAAGGCTGGGACGGGCCCAGTTGGGATGTTCTCATACCTTCACAGTGGTAGCAGAATGCTAGTCACAATTTGAAGATGGGACACTCTTCTGTCTGGTTGTTCATACCAACTTCCCCCCCTCTGCTACCAGCCTCAGTCTTTCCCCTTGACCCATCCTTGTGACCCCTCTCCATCCTTACTCCTCTCCCTCTTCGCTCCTATTTCCATTCCCTTTCTGTCCCTCTCTCTCTCAGTGTCCCCCTTCCCCTTGGCTCCTATTCACTCACCCTCTCTTGCCCATTCCCTCACCCTTCTCTCCATAATTAATAAAAAGAAGTGGTGCTGATGAGATGTGCGCCCACCATTGCCCAGTCCCTTTACTTGTATTTTGTACCCTCTTTGCTAATTGCCCTGTTAGATCATAAACTTCTTGGGGAATGGACCATATCTCCCTATGTGCTTGTACAACAGCTTGCACCATGGGGACCAGATTCAGATTGCGGTCTTTGAGAGCTACCGCAAGTCAACTAATCAAGAGGCATCATGGTCCACTGAGGCACCGGACTGGGACTAAGGAGAATTGGGTTCTATTCCCAGCAATGTCACTGCCTTACTAGGTGACCTTGCGCAAGTCTCTTCACCTCCATGTTTCCTCTCTCACTTTCCCCGTCTTGTCCATTTTTCCTGTAAGCTCTTTGGTGGCAGGGATTGTCCTTTACTATTTGTTTGTACAGTGCATGGCACAATGTGGCACTGGTCTTACTTGTGGCCTCTACGTGCTACTGTAGTAAAAATAATAAATACGAAGAGAGTCAGTCAGGTAGAGGGGCAGAAAATGAACGCTGAAATCAAATCTCTGAAGCTCAATTGCCCAATACTCATTACTCTCGATTTATCCCTAACAATTTCTTTCATTAAACTACAGCCAAAAATTACCTTTTATTGTACAGAAATCTGAGCAACTATCCATTTGGCCCAGGAAAGTGGCCGGTAGAAACAAAGAAAAGATGTATATTAAAGACCATGAACCAAATTCAATGTATTTGTCATTTATAATGACATTTGCAACATGCTTTGGGCTTCAGGGATTATTTACTCTCTGAAATACTTTTTTTAGCGAGTGTGTTAGTGGTCTATTCACAGACGACCTCAGATAAGGACATAGACTTGGAACTTGTTCAAAATAATTTAAGCAATCTTCTACAACAAACAAACAACAACAACAAAAATGCAACAGCCAACCATTCTGAACTAAGTCAATACTAACCTGATTTCCCAAAACTCATTTCAGACAGTGACTTCCAGGAAACTACTGGTAGCTCAAAAAAACTCCAAAGCTTAACTCTAAATTTAATTTTCTTTAAGGATTGTAATTGAGCTTGCTTTTGTCTTTTTCTTTTTAACTGCTATTTCCCTTAAATAATATACTGTGTCTTGGGTGACACTTTGTTGGGTTTCTGCTAAATCCTCATTTTTAAAAATGTGAATAAATATATTTTACAAGGTTGTTACTACCTCATAGTAACTAGAAATATAAACAAAACTCATATTGTTACAAGGAAAATAAACATATGGCATAAATTTAGTCTGATTGCTTGCTTGTCAGATGGAGAAGAGAACAGGGCCAAGTTATTGGGAGACTAACTGTTTAATCACATCAGCTTGTTTTTGTTGTATATATATAAATTCAAGCACACTCTTGCACTTATTTATTTAGAAACTAGCCTGGCTCCTTGTAAAAACAACAAGGAGTCCTTGTAGCACCTTAGACCTTGGTCCTTGGCCACTTTAGTCCTTGGCCACAAGGACTTCTTGTTGTTTTTGCTAATACAGACTAACATGGCTACCACTCTGAAACCTATCTCATTGTGTAGTACTTTTATTCCACAAGTACTCCCATTTAAATCAATGGAACTATTTGCAGAGGAAGGTACTATTCAAAATAGAGGGTGAAAGAATTTGGCCCTTAGTCTGGGCTAGGTTTTGACTGCAGGCATGGCCATGAGTAAGGGGTAGTACATAAAGAGTCGCCTCAGAAGGCAACGTACGTCTACACTGCAATAAAAATCCTGTGGCACCGAGACTCAGAAGCTCTGAGACTCGCTCCCTTTGTGGGATTTCAGAGCCTGGGCTGCAGCCTGAGCCTGAACATTGACTCTGCCATTTTAGCCCTGCAGCTTCCACAAACCCTTGACTTGGGCCAGCTGCGGTTGTGCCATGCATCTTTTATTGCAGTGTAGACATACCCTAAGAGACATGCCACTCCCTTGTTGCTTCTGTATAGGTTCTCCTTATCCACATAGTGGCCCCTTAAAGCCCCCAAAACTCAGATTCAGGCTCACGATGAATACTGGAAGGCCAGAGAAGAAAGGGAAAGAGATAGTGTTATATAACAAAGGGGAAAAAATTCTATAGCTCTTTTGTCTCATCAGAGGTGGCTGCATTATTTTTGGGCAGGTTTGCAAAACAGTATTTTTCTACCTTCCTCACCCCAAATATAACAAATTCCTAGCCACTATCACTCTGAAAAGGCATAGAGATTTACAATGACCTGGCTTTCCAGTGCTTTTTGAGAGGATGATGAAGGTGGGGAGAAATGGAGGGCAAAACTTCAATGATCTTTGAGGGTTTTACCACTTATGTTAAAAATATGTATTTATTAACTCCAGAATAATTAAGTTTGTGCCTGGATGTTTTTAGTTTTTTTCATAAAGCTGCCAATAAAAAATGTCTCATGGAAGTACTCATATAAACATAATAAATAGAAATAAGGTGCACATTTTTAAGCATCAGGGTAATTAACTACTAAAACAACTTACCTGGGGATGAGGTGGATTCTCCATACCTTGACATCTTTCTAAAAGCTAAGCTATAGCTCACACAGAAGTTTGGGGCTTGATGTAGTAATTACTGGTTGAAGTTATTGGGTCTGTATTATGCAGGAGGTCTGACTAGATAGTTGTCCCTTCTGGATTTTAAAATCTATGAACCTACAAATCATGATAATTATATCTCTGCCAATTAGATTACTTAAAATATATCCCGCATGACAATTTGTTATTCGGCATTGGCTTGCTAGCTGTAGAAATGTACCAAATTTTCTTCAAACCTATGTTGAAATCTTAAAGTCTATAACTCAAACAAATTAAATTCTGGGCTTTACCTTCACTACATCTATGGAGACAAAACTGATGGCTACCTTAAATTCTTTAATCTGACCAGTTCTTCCAATAACAGAGGGCAATCAGGTTAAGAACTACAAGGCTGGAAAATGTTAGTGTGTGTAAAGGAGGAGGGGGAAAATCAAATACACATGGGTTGGTAGAAACATGAGTCTTTGTTCTACTCCACCTTACTGGAGTCTATATGGGTCTTAGACTGTCCAGATAACCCCACAAGGAGTGTAGAAGGTACTCTAAAACAGTTGCATGGATTATGAGCACCTCAGAAGCCTGTATGGTAATTAAAATCTGTGCAAAAGGGAATGCATTAGCACAGATTTGTATTCACATGTGTTGTGCGCGTGTGGGAAGGGTGGACTGTTGATGGGTTCTGCATTTGTGTGAGTTGGCAGTTGTGTGTCTGCAGATGCCTGCATGAGGGTTTAGGAAGAGTCATTATGTTGGCTGGAGAGAGTCCAGCACAATGCAAATGTCCTCCACACCATTTCAGACTTTTCCAAACTCTGTCCAAAAGATACACATTGTAACTCAGTCTAATTTCTCAGATACAGCTCTGGGCTCTAAATCTTTCAACCGATTATTGATTGATCCAACTCTGAGCTCTCTTCACTAAGCCAATTTGGAGCTATAAGAAAAAGAAAAAGAAAAAAGAATTTGCCAATCATGATATACATGTAGTTTTTCTAGATCCCATCTCTCAGAAATGCCATGTCAAATTCATGATAAATTTTGGCACTAAAAAGGTCTCCACAGGTACATGTATACTAAAAAACGGTCTGTACATGTACATGTAATACTAAAGCAAAATGTGAAACAGAAAGTTTTGTTTTGCTTTTAGGATATTAGAGGGGAACAAAACAAAACAAAACAAAACCCAACCACAACAAGAAAAAGTCAGATTTATAACGGAAAGCTGGTTACAACCTTAATTATGAAAGGGTGCCTCCTCTCCATAATACATTGCCTTTCCAATACTTGTGAGGGGGTGCACTGGCCCTTTGTGTGTCAGCTGTTGAAGTCTATTGGACCAACAGCACCTTGCCTCATGCTGACCCCTACTATGAAAACCCACTTTGCACTTGTATCTACTATGGATCTTTATCCAGGACAAGCAAAGGTTAATCAACTGTTTGCGTGGCATGTAGCCCTTGTTACTCTGCCAGTTAATTCAGCAGAAAGTACATAGCCTCCTGATCTTCTCTGGGGAGGAGCCCCTAAAAGATCACAGCGATAACCAGAGAGCCTGTAGTAAGGACTTTGATCCAGATAGATAGGAAGAGGAAAATGCATGTGGTTTGGATTCTGTGTGCTGGTGTCAATCAGCTTGGTTCTACTGAAGTCAGTGGAACGCTGCCGATTCACACCAGCTAAGGATCTGGAATGGTTTCCTCTTGTTCACTTAATACAGTTTAGTGATGTGGGGTGTGGAGGAGGCACCTGAGCTGGGACTTTAGGTAGCAATGTCTTTGCTGTGTCTTGTGTTTTGTTCAGGTAAATAAATTCCAGCATCCCAGGAAGAGGGGAAGACTTTGTAATTAATCACAGGCTCTCTGTTATGGCAGGAAGCACAGGCTCCTGTACACTGAATGCTAATATGCTGCTTGTCATCTTCAAAGTGCTTTACAAACATTCACTAATTAATTAATCCTAGCAACAACACTCAGTTATTTTCTGTTACTGGAGTGTATGTTTACTAAGTTAGCTCCACTTGCACACAGCCCGTTGATGCTGTTGAAATACATGGAAAGATTAATGAGGTTGCCACCACAAAAAGTTTTGACACTGTTATAGCCAGGGCGGGTAGCACCACTCTTAATGTTGTCAAACACTTCCCATTATAAGCCCCTGTTTTCAGGTGTTGGTTGAATTTTTTTTCCCAGTGAAACAGTTTTCTGTTGGGAAATGCCGATTCAATGGATTTGACACATCCCACTGGAAAGTGGTGTGTCAAAACTTTTTGCAGGTAAACAGGATGACAAGCCACCCTGTTTGTTTTGTTAAGAGCATTGGTTCCAAGAGAGGTGGAAAATCTGGCAGGAAATCAGGCAGAGTCAGGTTCAATGAATTTCCCAACTTGAAAAAAAATGTCTAGAAAAAAAGTTTTGAAATGGTGAATATGTTTTGTTATGATACTTTTTAAATGAAAAATTCTGGTTTTCTGGTCAAAACAACTTTTTGTTTCAAAATTTAAGCTATTAGACAGAAAAAAGACCTAAATCAAAATGAAACATTTCAATTGACCTAGAATGAAAAAAATAGTCAATTTTTCAATTCATGAAAAAGGAACCCAATGAGAGATGGGGGAAAAAAGTGTTGCTCTTGAAAATATTAATGGAATGGGAAAACAGTTTCCCTGTCTAGCTTTCTCTCAATGACATCCTGTGTCAGTGAC